GCCGGCCTAAATGTTATTTATTTTTATTTGAAATGAGGAGAAACAGAGAGAGACAGAAAGAGATCTTCCACCTACTGGTTCACTACCCAAATGCTTGGAAAGGCCAAGGCAGGGCCAGGCTGAAACCAGGAGCCAGACCTCAAGCCAGGTCTTCCACATGGTGGCAGGCACCCAAGTACTTGAGCTAATACATGCTGCTACCTGGTACACGTTAGAGGGAAGCTGGAATTGGAAGCACATCAGCACTCAGACATTCAGATGTGGGATGTGGGAGTCCCAAGCAGCACCTTAACTGCTGTGCTAAAGATCCACACTAATAAGATTTTTAAAAAGACCAAATTGGTCTGTGCCATGGTCTGATATGACTACTACATATGCAGCCCTCATTTCATTTCTGATCAGTATGTTCCAGACAATTAATTCTTGATAGACACCACATGTGCCATCAATGCAAACAAAAGCCTCTTTCTGTTCCACGGTTGTGCTGGGCACCAGAATATTGAAATTAGAATCAAATCATGGCAAATAATTGAGTCAATACATTTCCAATTACGCACAATGGTGTTAAAGATCAGCATCCAACACTCATTCTACATCCAAACTGCTCTAGAAATAGCAGGCCCATACAATGAATGACACTGTCGAGATGAAAAAAGGTGGTCTCCAATCATGTCCAATCAGGCTGAGAGAAATGAACAGGATGTTGAAACAGACTACATGCACGCTGGATCATGTTAGACAATACATGTGACCTGGTGTAGCCACACATTCTGCCTCATCATCCAAACTGTGGTATAACTGATTCCTTTCACTGACAATCATAGAATGTTTCTTTTGAATTCTGTGAAGACAAAATGCCTGGCCTCTTCTATTTTTTTTAGGTTTAAGTGGGGGTAGCCCCTAAACTTTCCCTTCAGCAGTCTCTCATCCTCTCTCCCAACCCACAAACCACCACACATAACTTATTAAAGGATACAGCTAGCTTTCCCAATAATCAGAAGTTGTAATATTAAACTTGACAAAATGGGTAGCAAGAAACACTCTGAAAAATTCAGGGTAGGTGGAACACTCCTGGAACTCAGAGTTTAATTTTAAAAAGTGAAACTGAACATGAAAACTAAATGAAAAACATACACGTTCAGTGGTCTTCGCTCCCAGACATTTCCATTGCTCTCCTGAAATAAACCTACAAATGGTGGACTTTCCATCTAATTGCAAGGATGAACACATACAACAGAAGCAGTTTTTAAACATGCGTCCAGAGTGTTTCTGTACATTTATCACCTGTGAATCATTCCAACCAGGTACAAAGGACTGTGTGTTCACTTCTCTGTAAATTACTACAGTGGAGTTCCAATATTCAACCTTAAAGTGTTTGGCTGCTGGCATTCTTTTTGATCATTGAAAATCACTGGTTCAAAGACTGGCATGTTAAGCCACCACTGTGGCATTGGCAACCCATATGTGTGCCAGTTCAAGTTCTGGCTGCTCTAATTCTGATCCAGCTCCCCTGCTAATGGCTGGGGAAAAGCAATGGAAGATGGTCCAAGGGCTTGGGCCCCTGCCACCCATGCAGGAGACCCAAAGGAGGCTTCTGGCTTCTGCCTGGCCCAGCCCTGGCCATTGTGGTCATTTGGGGGAGTGAATCAGTGAATGTGGACAATCTCTTTCTGCCTTTCCCCCTCTCTCTCAGTAACTTTGCCTTTCAAATAAATAAATAAAGAATTGTTTTTTAAAAAAGAAAGAAAGTCATTACTTCAATAACAGGTATACATATAAAGCAAAGGAAATTCAAGTTAGACCTCTGTTACTTATTTCAACATTCAGGGCCATCTGTCTTTTCTGATTCTCTCTCTCTCATCCCTCCCTCCCCACACACAGTGTATGTGAAACAGTCAGTCGATATTCAAAGACTACACCTGTATAACACGAGATAGAAGTTTCACTCAAACTGCAGCAGCTCAATATGTAGATGGGAAAAAGTTTCAGAACTAGGAAGTGAAATGAAATTCACCCATATACCTCTACCTCTAAAATGAAAGTTATTCTGGGTTATATAACAAAAATAAACCTCCCACCAGAGATCTTGGAAATCTTGAATTTTTTTTTCCTGCAGGAGGATTTATTATTTTCCTCTGAGTGTCCATTCATGCGTTTTCTTCTTGTTTCTATTCATAGCACCAGATCCTGACTAGCATGCACAACCTCAAAAGAAAAGAAACACTAAATACAAACTGTAAAATCAAATCAAATAAAGCAAAACAAAAGGCCCACGTCAAGAGTGGGAACCTCTGGGCTGGTGCCATCAAGTCTCCAGGCATCCGCGCCGGCGGAGCTCACCTTGTAGGCAACGCTATTGGACGAATCCACAATGATGAACAGGGGCTTCCTGGTGAACGGATACAGATCTCCAGGATGAAGGCTGAGAAAACAACAATGAAGAACTGTGTCACTGCACTGGCCGAGCCACAGAGGCTCAGAAATCTTATTCTTCAGTTTGGTCTCCTCCTATCTCTTTTTCATCACAGCAATAGAGAAGAAAACAATGATTGATTAAGCAAAGGACAAAAACTTATGCATTTAGTGGAATGGCCAAGTTACTTTTATTTGAAAAGAGAAAAAGTTCAGACAATCAGTTCTCAAGAATATCTAAGCTGAAGAGAAATCTATACATTTAAGGATGACACACTCAGCACGGAAATCTCAAGAGTTAGCATATGGAACTTATCTGACATTTCAAAGCTCTTTGTGACAATGTGCTTTGAAAACAAGAGGTAATAACACAGATTAGTACTTCAGTGTACTTCTCAATCTCTGTTTTACAGGCTTCTGATATTTCAAGCTACATCTTATTGCCAATGGCAAGTAGGGAAACCCCTTCTACTGCTCTTTACACTTCCTCTGGACGCCTGCAACGGAAATCCCAGGGTGCTTGCTGCAGACTGCACCGCTAGCCCCCAGGCCACCTGCTGGACCCACAGGCTGAAGCCCAGTCCCACGCATTTGTGAGGCCCTATTTAAGGCAGCTGGAATCCTGGTGCATGCTCTTCCCAGGACAAAGTGTATATGTATATAAATATTACTGTAAATGAACATAAATATACAAAATGACATGACAATGAGCAGTATCTTCAAAACTCAATGTTTCAAATACAAGTCATTTTTAACTGAAAAACAATAATTGCATATATTCACGTTGTACCACACCTTGATTTGACATATGTATTCACTGACTAGTGATTATCATGACCAGATGAATCAACACCTCCATCCCCACATAAGATGTGTGAGTGTGTGTGTGTGTGTGTGAGTGTGGTGAAGACACTTAAGACCTACTCTTTTAGCAGGCGTGTAGTAAGCAGCACAGCACTGCTGACTTTGGCCGCCATCCTGGTCTTCAGCTCACCAGAACCGGGGGTAATACACCTTGACCACCGTCTCCCCACTCCCCCTAGTCCCCCATCTCGGGCAGACACCACTCTCTGCTTCTGTGAGTTCAACTGCTTTAGATTCCACATGTAAGTGAGATCACGCATGGTCTGTCTCTCTGTGTCTGGCTTATTTCACTTAGCATGATGACGTCCAGGTTCACAAACGCTAGGACAAACGGCAACACGTCCCTTTTTTATGGATGAACACTTCATTCTATACACACACAAGATATTAAAAATTAGGTTTTAATTTTTATTTATTTGAAAGGGAGAGTGGAGGAGGAAGGGGATGGAGAGAGAAGGATCCTTCATCTGCTGGCTCATTCCCCAAATTCTCACAACATGATGCGCCCCTGCCCCAGCAGGGGTGAAGGTGGCGCTCTCCCTTGTGGTGGCAGGAACCCAATCAGCTGAGCCGTTGTAGCTCATTATACACTCCCCTGGGGTCTGCATTGGCAGGAAGCAGCAATCAGGAGCCGGATCAGGGAACTGAATCCAGGTACTTGTTATGGGACACAGGTACCTTACTGGCATCTCATCTCTCTTTTTGAGAATAGCCATCCTAATAGGTGGCAGTGGATAACCTCCTTGTGCTTTTGATTTGCATTTCCCTGAGGATGAGTGATCTTGGGTACCTTTTCATATATTTGTTCAGTTTTTCTAATATAAATACTTGACAACTAAGGTAAATGACAGCACTAATGTGTGGCTTGGGCAACTTTAGCTACTATACATACTCTAACACATGTACTTGCCTGCCCTCCCTTCCCCACAGTTTTGGACAAGTCCAGTTTTCCTTATAACCAGACTACTATCTCTTGGATAGAGAAACTCTATCACCAGTAATAGCCAAAGCAGTGAAGGGACTTCTTGGGAAAAAGAACAAGCTTTCACAGACAAGAATTCTACTGGAAATTGTACAACTGAGTTCACTGGTGCTGTAGCGTACCACCAGAACCTTCCATTAAGAGTTCGTACTGAAGCTAACAGGTATCATGTGCTGTTGTAGCATTTATTTCTGAACCTATTTCCTGTCTTCTCCAACTAGAATGCAAGCTTGTTTTCTGAGACCTCCCCAGTGACTAAACAGCCTGACACATCATGGATACTCCATAAAATATCTGTTCAATGAACATCAACCCCAAATACTAATTTCCTGTGATAGTCGGAGCCTAAAATATTGCTGGAACCCAAATGAGGGCTATTAGCACTAGTTGATTTGGAATCTTTCTAGTACTAGACAAAAGTCCCCCTTTCACTTAATAGTTTAAGAGAAAGAGAGCTATACTTTTTACATAAGTGGGAGGTCCCGTAGTACATACCAGTGCATCTCCTTGTGTGGTTGATTCCGTTTGTGGATAGCATCTCCATTTATAATATCGCGGTTACTGTTAGTAAGCACACCTCCAAAATCGTAAGGACCTATAAAAACAAGGAAAAGAATCCTAGACTTCAGCTGGAGAGCGACGGTAACCTGCTGTTCAAGTGTAAAATCACTGTGTGAACCTCTCATGGACACAGTGCAAGATGTTTATAAAACATTTGAATTATTTTCAAATTTAACATTTTAATGTAATGCAGTATTAAATGAGTTCAGCAGGTTGCCTGTTCAAGATCTTTTAAAAAATTTGATGACTCAACAGTTCTTCACCTAGGCTACCATGAAAAATAAAGCAGGAAGCTTCTGCATGCTAGGACTCCAAGCAATAAAAGGGACGAAGACCCAGGATGTCCAAAATGACTTACTCTTCAAGTAAAATGGAAGTAACGGGTTCAACAAAATTATTTTACAAAGATGGTTGCAGGCTGAAAGCTTAATCTTTTAAAAATAAAATTTTAAATAAGACACTAATTGTAAAATTTTTGGGAAAAATTGAAATGGAATTTGAAAATTCTCGTTGAAAAAAGCCTTCATTTTTATGAGCTACATTGTCAAGATTTAATATGTGGAAAATTCATTATTATTACAATTTTATCAGCAACTTGAATTATGGTTCTGATGATAATCCTATCCAGCTGGTCATATGAATTAGCTGAACTCTTTTCTAAACCAAAGAGCAACTGCAGTATGTTTGGACAGTCTCTCTTAAAGGACTACTCATTTATAACCTATGGTATGTTGAAAAAGAAGAGACCGATATGTTAAACGGTGAAAAGCCTGATTTAACAATATATGTTAAGCTACAGAAATCATTATATATAAATAAAGTCACAAACTTTATTACCAAAAAAAGTAAAGTAGTTTAAGATTTAGTATCACTTTTAATGTTGTGTTATATTCTATCCCTTTAAGAAAATCACTGCAAGTGAAACACTACTGAGATCTATTTTGTTCCTTCATTTTTAGCATTTTCAGAGAAGCTGTAGGTCATGCAAGGAAGATGGCAGGGACATGCATTTTATAAAGGAATGCAAATTTCAACAAACAGATGAAGAGGAAAATGTTACAGATGTCGAGAAACTTTTTCCCCCAGATAAAGTTTTAATGGCCGTGTTTTTTCATCTATTCACCAATTTCTGGACTCAGATTCTGGACAGTTTTAAGTTTTTATTCTGAAACAGCATCCCAGTATTCTATAGATTAAATCCATAGAAACAAAATAAAACAAAAAAAAGAAAGGATAGAAAAAAAAATCATAACAAGGACTTGAACTTTCAGTTACAAAACTGCATTGATTTCTACAAGGACTTTTGGCCCTGGTACAGCCACTGACTGGCCGGGTCTTCTCATGATGTGAAGCAAATAATCAGGCTTGGTTACACCATCAGCCTTTGCAAATTCAAAATGTTGAACTGGAAATATAATATATACCCAGTTTATTTATATATTTAATTATATATATGATGCTTTATACATAAAGTTTTTAATAAGTTTGATAGTGAAGCATGCATTTAATATCTGAATTTTCTGATGACTTTTGTGCTTCAACATGCAATATTTCATCAAATAAAACAGACTGGAGGTATCTGAAAGATTGCCAAATTTAATAAATGGGCCAGGTTGCAAATCTGGAAGCCTTTCCAGCAATCTTGAGAGGGTCTGTGTGCTGTGGGCCATTGTCTTGTAGAAAATAAGGAGAATTCAAGCCCTGCTCACGACAGGGAGCATTCCTTTATTGTACCTTCACTATCAGAACGACCTGTGGGGAAAACGCCAGTGGCTGACAGGTAAATCAGAAGCACGCTGTTGGCAGGCAGCTCCTGAAATGAAAGAGAATCACAAATACAAACCAGCAAATGGAAAAACCAGGCAGCCGCATTTAGAATTCATGATGAAGCTGTAGGGGAAACAAGAATGGTGGATCATTGCCTTTTTCGTTTTTTTTTTGGTGCTTCTGAGGTAAAATGACCTACACAGTACGGATCCTTTTTTTTTTTTTTTTTTTTTTTTTTTAATTTTTGACAGGCAGAGTGGACAGAGAGAGACAGAGAGAGAAAGGTCTTCCTTTGCCGTTGGTTCACCCTCCAATGGCCGCCGCTGCAGCCGGCGCAACGTGCTGATCCGAAGCCAGGAGCCAGGATCCAGGTGCTTTTCCTGGTCTCCCATGGGGTGCAGGGCCCAAGCACCTGGGCCATCCTCCACTGCACTCCCTGGCCATAGCAGAGAGCTGGCCTGGAAGAGGGGCAACCGGGACAGAATCCGGCGCCCCAACCAAGGTGGAGGATTAGCCTATTGAGCCACGGCGCCGGCTCTGGATCCATTATTAATCTATAATCTGGGGCTGACACTGTGGTGTAGTGGGCCAAGCCTCAGCCAGCAGCACTGGCATCCCAAATGAGTGCCTGTTCAAGTCCCAGCTGCTCCACTTCCAATCCAGCTCTCTGCTATGGCCTGGGAAAGCAGTAGAAGAGGGCCCAAGGACCCACGTGGGAGACCCGGAAGAAGCTCCTGGCTCCTGGATTTGGATTGGCGCAGCTACAGCCATTGCAGCCATTTGGGGAGTGAACCAGCAGATGGAAGACCTCTATCTGTCTCTCCCTCTCTCTGTCTATAACTCTGCCTCTCAAATAAATAAAATCTTTAAAAAAAATCTATAATCTATCACAACTGCCACACTCTGTGAAGACATTCTCTGCTTCCACAACTCCATTTGGAGAATGTTCTGGGAACACCTGAACTGGAGAAGTAATGATCCTGACTAAGGATGGGCACCTCTGGGAAGCACATCCCTATTTCTCCTAGTTGCTTCAGACGACAAAATGTTTCACGGATTCCGTGCCTGTGCAGTCTGCTCAGGTCTGCGTTGAGTATTACAGCTAAAGGTGTTTAGTAATAAACGCCTAGAGAAAGGAGAATGATACTTAATGTTCTCATTAATCAACAGTGAGGAACATTCACAGTACCGTAAGGGATCTCTATTCCCAAATAGCTTTGATCAGGATCTTCATTCTAAAGTCAGTTTTTCATTTTTCATATTTTACCGAAACTCCTGACGCACCTATTCAGAGAAGAGAGGCTCTCGCATTGCACTCAGGGGACACTGTCCTTACAGGACAAACACTGCTGGGTCACACATACCTTAAAAGATGCTGCTAAGAACGTGTACAGCTGGCTGAAGGTTGGTTTGTAAAGGAGATACTTGTGAGGATTTTCTCGTCTGGTAGGCTTGTCACCTGATTCCTGCATTTTCCCAGAGAAGACAATATCATAAAAACTATATTTGACACATAATTATCTATGCCGTTTCCCCTAATCTTTCGATCAAATATCCTCTTTGCTCAAAATTGCTGTCACTATGCAGATCTGCTTCTTTGTGTCGTATCAACAGAACCCATTATTCACATTTAAGGCATTTGTTGAAAAATGGGCTGAGAACAGAAGTGTCAAGAGAAGGTCACCTGCATTCCTGGTTTATTCATCTGGGAAGCTAAATTCATTGGCTCCCTCTCCAAGGCTTGCAGCATCCGGAACATGTCAACGGTCAGTTCACTGAACTTCACCTGCAATGAACACACACCTGGTCATTAATGTGGCAGGTAGACCTTGAACTCTTTAACTGCACTGTTTAGCCCTGATGTTTCACGTGCAGGTAATTACACTGGGAATCTTGTTAACATTTCATTATAAAATTTGTAAGACAGAGAGGCTGAAAGAATTGTACAATGACACTCATATGCTGATCATCTAAACCCTATAATTAACATATTTAATATTTGCTTCAATATACATCTCTCATCTCTGGATATCACTGTTTATCCATCAATATCTTCAATTACTTTTACAAAGACACATAGATTTATATTAGCTCCTACAAAAGATGTTAACTTCTGGCAAGTCAGGCTGAAATATGGTGGTGGTCCGTATTCTACAATCCTTCAACACATTTTAACACTTTACAATATTTAACATGGCATCCTTCTCCATTTTGAAAATTACTTATGGGGCCAGCACTGTGGCATGGAAGGTTAAGCCTCTGCCTGTGATGCCGGCAACCCATATGGGTACCCATTCAAGTCCTAGCTGTTGTTCTGCTGATCCAGGTCTCTGCTAATGACCTGGGAAAGCAGCAGAAGATGGCCCAAGTCCTTGGGCCCCTGAACCCACGTGGAAGACCTGAAGAAGCTCCTGGCTCCAGGCTTTGGATCGGCTCAGCTGCGGCCATTGTGGCCATCTGGGGAGTGAACCAGCAGATGGAAGACCTCTCTGTCTCTCTTTTGTTTCCTTCTTTTCTTTCCTTCCCTTTCTTCCTTCCTTCCTTCCTTCCTTCCTTCCTTCCTTCCTTCCTTCCTCCCTCCCTCCCTTCCTTCTCTATCTTCCAAATAAATAAATAAATAAATCTTTAAAAACAAGAAAAATACTTATACAGAACTTAAGGTAGGCACACGAGGATTAAAAAAACAGATGAGAATTTTTAAAGTATCTGTATCTATGAAATTAAAATTTACTTAGTTAAGGCAACAATCAGGTTATGAAGGTTAGTTGCTAGAGTTTCAAACATCTAATTCATTTACTATATTTTTAAGCAGACTAAAGAAAAAATTTAATTCTCCTCCAACTCAATTTTCACAAAGCAAAGTTGTAAAGGTGTTATTTCCAACTGGAGTTTTCAGAAATGTGACAAAACTGCCCTACAGTGCCAGACACTGGCCACACTGCCACCTGTAACACGAAAACATGAAAGACTTACACCTGATCTCTCGGGCGAGGGATCAGAAACAACAACCTGGCTCATGTGTCCTTTGCACTTTCTTGAAAATCTGACCCATAAATGATTCAAGAGATTTACAAATACTTGTTTCAGCCTGATAATAACTACCACCCCTTTTGTTTTGTTTATTTATTTATTTATTTATTTATTTATGTGAAAGGCAGAGTTGCAGAGAGAGGGAAAGACAGAGAAGAGAGATCTTGCATCTGCTGGTGTACTCCCCAAATGGAGGCAATGGTCGGGGATGGGCCAGGTCAAAGCCAAGAGTCAGGAGTCTTTTCCAGGTCTCCTACATGGAGGGCAGGGGTCCAAGCACTTGAGCCATCTTCTGTTGCTTTTCTAGGCGCACCAGTAGGAAGCCGGATCGGATGGAGATGAGACTCAAACTGGTGCACATATGGGATACCAGTATTGCAGTGGCCGCTTAATCTGCTGTGCTGCAATACCAACCCAATAGCTACCTCTCGTATACCAATTATTTTCATGTCAAAAGAGCACAGACACTCCATACTTCAAGCTTGTTGATTTCGAAATCTTACCCCAGAAACCCTGAATTTGAAATTCTCTATCCCTTCCCTTTCTTTTTTTTTCTTTTTAAAGATTCATTTACTTATATGAAAGGAAGAGCAACAGAGAGAGAGAAGGAAAGTCAGAGTGAGATCTTCTGTCACTAGGTCACTCCCCATATGGTCATGTGGACTGGGGCTGGGCTGGGCCAAAGCCAGGAGTCTGGAACTCCATCCGAGTCTCCTATGTGGATGGCAGCAACCAAGTACTTGAGCCACCAAGCACTGCTTTCTCAGGCACATCGGCAGGGAACCGAGAGCGCCCAGGACTCAAGCAGCACTCCAACATGGAACGCCAGCACCACAAGCTAATTGCTTAATCTGCCTAAGCTGTGTGCCACAACGCCAGCCTGGAGGCTGCTCTTTCTTTCTTAATGCCGAGTTGAGGCCCTTTATTCTTTCGACTGCTCACTGTCTAGCCCGGGGATGCTCCTTCGCCATAGTCCCCACAGGAGGTAGCTTTGTTACATTCCATACCAAGTAACAAGGTTCGGTGACGGATATCACCACATATCTGAATGTACAACAAACCAGAACCTACAAATCTTCCTCCACATCTACTCTTTCCATACTTCCATGTCCAAGGACATCTATATGAAAATTCTAACCCATACTTCACACCAAACAAAAATAGTTTCCACATAGATTATAGATCTAAATATAAAAGGTAAGAGTCTAGATAAGAAAATAACAACCATGACCACTGAACAAGCAAAGATTTTTTAAAATAAAGGACAAGAAATAGCTTTTAACGTATACAAAGAAAATTATAAATTAGGTTTCATTAAAATTAAGGGGACAGCACTGTGGCGCAGCAGGTTACGCTGCCACTTGAGGTGCCTGCATCCCATATCCACGTGCAGTTCAAGTCCTGGCGCCTCTGTCTCCAGAGCCAGCTTCCCGCCAAGGCACCTGGGAGGCAGCAGACGAAGGCCCGTGTTTGGGCTGCCGCCTCCACATGGGAGACATGACTGGGGTTCCAGACTGCTTCAGCATGGCCCAGCCCAGGCTCTGCAGGCATCTGGGGAGTGAACCAGTGGATGGAAAACTGTCACTCTTTCAAGTAACTGAAAATAAATACACATTGGAAAAATAAGTAAATACAATTAAGGAGACTGTTGGCAATGTGGAGCTCCCATCTAAAGAACCGTGGACAATCCCACCTCCACACAGTACGCCAACCTCAGGCTCACCTTCACCCTAAAGGCACAGAGCACTGTGTGTGAAACTGACACCCAGAACTAATTCACCTACCTTCAAATTTGTCCCAAGAAAAATGAAACTATGGTTGCACCAGAAGAAGACCAGAGCCCATTCAAACCTATTTAGTGGCCCAAGGAATGGACTTCTCCGTGCCAGTCATTCGCACAGCTTCTGCAAGGGCCCCCCCTCCCCACCTCTGACACCCTCCTGTGAGAAGCCTACCTGATTTCATTCTGACCTTTAATTCACTTTGCTGCCCTTGGAAAAGGATTTTTTTTTAAATAAAAGTAACCAAAATGCTCAAAAAAGAAATTAAGGATTTCTGTTCACTGGAATTTCAGTACGGGGGCACACAGTAGGCACACAAGAAGTATTTTAACTAATGTAAATTAATAAAATTTTATCTATAAATTTATATATAAAGTATTTAGAAATAAATAATATATACTATATATACTATTATATATAAATAAATTATTTTAATTAATTTATATATAAACACAGGGACACTAAGAAGACAATAAAAGCCAGGCCACAGAGTAGGAGAAGACACTTGATACTTAAATTTAACAAAGGACTTTTAAGCAGAACATATTAGGAACTCCTATAAATCAATAAGAAAACAGGGGCTTGCATCATGGTGCAGTGGGTTATACTGCCTCCTGCAATGCTGGCAAGGGGAGGTTCAAGTCCCAGCTGCTCCACTTTTCATCCAGCTCCCTGCTGGTGCACCTGGGAAACTAATGGAAGATGGACCAAGCGCTTGGGCCCATGACACCATGTGGGAGGCCTGGATGTTGCTCTAAGCTCCAGGTTTTGCCTAGTTCAGCCTTAGCTATTGTGGCCATTTGTGGAGTAAATAAGATTTACGATCTCCCTGTCTCTTCCTCTCTCTCTGTAACTCTTCCTTTCAAGTGACTTTTAAAAAATTAAAAATAATCAAGAAAACATTGGAACTGCTGTAGGTGAAGTGGATATACCAATTTATACTTCTACCAATAAGATATGAAATACCTAGCTTTTGTACAAATGTGTCAGGACATGCTATCATTACCAGCTTGTCTGTTCGGTCTTGATTTTAGCCATCCAGGTGGGTGATCTCATTTAGTTTTAATGTGTACTTGTTTGATAAGCAAAATTCTCTTTGAAAAAAAAATCAATAAAAATAATAAGCCTTCAGATAGTATAACTAGACAAGCAATAAATGTGTTTCAAAGTATGTCCACTGGGGTGGATGTTTCCATATGGGCTTGATGCCTGGCTCCAGCTCTCTGCTAATGCAGACCCTGGGAGACAACAGTGCCAGCTAAAGCGACTGGGTTCTTGCCATCCCCAACCACAAAGGAGATCCAGATTCAGCTTCTGGCTCCTGGCTTTAGCCTAGCCCAGTGCCACCTGTTGTGGACATTTGGGAAGTAAACTAGAGGATGGAAACTCTCTATCTCCCACTCTAATAAATATTTTAAAAATAAGAAATCTGTTCCCTTATGTATGTGTATATATAATTTCAAATTTGTTTTAATGGTTATAATAGCCAAAAATGAAGGAATTCTAGGAAATGTTAACAATGAACATGATAGGTACAAGGATAGGATACAAAATCAAAACTTATATATTGGGGCCAGTGCTGTGGTGTTGTGGGCAGGTCTCCCATCAGACCCAGATCCTTGAGCCATCACCTATTGCTTTTTGCAGGGTGCACACTAACAGGAAGCTAGAATTGAAAGTGCACTGGGAATTGAACTCGGGTACTCAAAAATAGGATACAAGCGTCCCAAGCAGGTTCTTTTTTTTTTTTTTTGGCAGAGTTTGACAGTGAGAGAGAGAGACAGAGAGAAAGGTCTTCCGTTGGTTCACCCCACAAATGGACGCTACGGCCGGAGCGCTGCGCCGATCCAAAGCCAGAAGCCAGGTGCTTCCTCCTGGTCTCCCATGGGGTGCAGGGCCCAAGCACCTGGGCCATCCTCTACTGCACTCCCTGGCCACAGCAGAGAGCTGGCCTGGAAGAGGGGCAACCGGGACAGAATCCGGCACCCCGACCGGGACTAGAACCCGGTGTGCCGGCGCCGCTAGGCAGAGGATTAGCCTAGTGAGCCGCGGCGCCAGCCCCAAGCAGGTTCTTAATAGCTATACCAAATACCCAATCCAGAACTTCACTTTTGAAAAATGAACTCAAAACAAAACTCTCCCTTCTTTTTGCCAAATTTGAAAAGCAATATATAGAAATTATGGAAAGTTTATAGAGTTGTAAAGAAAGCATTTAAAATCCCCCATAATTTTGCTTTAAAGAAAAATTTTCTCAGGGCTTGCACTGCGGTATAGCAGGTAAAGCCACCACCTGCAATGCCAGCATTCCATATGGGCGCCGGTTCGAGTCCCGGCTGCTCCACTTCTGATCCAGCTCTCTGCTATGGCCTGGAAGTCAGTGGAACATGGCCCGAGTTCTTGGGCTCCTGTGCCCACATGGGAGACCTAGAAGAAGCTCCTGGCTCCTGACTTGATTGGCCTACCTCCAGCCATTGTGGCCATTTGAAGAGTAAAATAGCAGATGGAAGACCTGTCTTTTTCTCTCTGCCTCTGTCTCGCTGCCTTTCAAACAAATAAATAAATCTTTAAAAGAAAAAAAATAACACATATAGGAAAATAAATTACTGGTAACTTTTCCAATGTCCCATAATTTACAGTAAGTTACATTTCTAGCACATTAAAATCTCATCAACATGGGATAATTCTGTCATGGAAAACTGGGAAATTCACTTAAAATTATTTATTTAAAAGGTAGAAATGTGGCCGGCGTTGAGGCTCAATAGGCTAATCCTCCGCCTGCAGCGCCAGCACACTGGGTTCTAGTCCCAGCCGGGGCTCCGGATTCTGTCCCAGTTGCCCCTCTTCCAGGCCAGCTCTCTGCTGTGGCCCGGGAGTGTAGTGATTGGAGGATGGCCCAAGTGCTTGGGCCCTGCACCCCATAGGAGAAGCACCTGGCTCCTGCCATCGGATCAGCGCGGTGCGCCGGCTGCAGCGCGCCAGCCGTGGCGGCCATTGGAGGGTGAACCAACGGCAAAGGAAGACCTTTCTCTCTGTCTCTCTCTCTCTCACTGTCCACTCTGCCTGTTAAAAAAAAAAAAAAAAGCAAAAGTAAAAGGCAGAAATGCACAGAGAGATAACAATCTTCCACCTGCTGGTTCATTTCCCAAATGTCTCCAACTTCTCTCTCTCTGCCTCTGCCTCTTTTTAACTCTGTCTTTCAAATAAATAAATAAATCTTTAAAAATAAAAAAAATTTTTTTTCTTCCCAATCTTTTTGCCATGCATATAGTATTATT